AGCGATCAACACCATAAGCTGGCCAGGATAGGTCTTGGATTCCATTAAAAATAGAAAAAATAAAAAGTACAACTAGCTTTAGGGTATGAACCATGGAGAAGGTTCGACCTCATCTTCCCATTGCTCATGGACAACTGCCCAGAGAACTTCTATCTAAACAAGTAAGTCCCAGGAATGATCCTCCTCCTTTCCACAGCAAGCAGGCCAATGCTATCATCTTGAGACTGGCAAGGAGACACACACAAAATAAATGTACTGGGACTGGGAATGTGTGTTTGTCTATTCCCATAGAAAGAGCAACTCTCTTATGCAAAAACTGATGTCATCAGTGCCTGACTGATGAAAGTGAGCAGACAGGCTGAGGCAGGGGAACACAGAGAGGAGTGCCATATACACTTCCAAGAATAGCCTCCTGACTTCCTACCCTGCAGCTGACACTAGGCCATGACCTTAAGCTGCATTCACTTGTGGACCCCTTTAAAGGTGCAGTAACACAAGAACACAGTAAACAGCAAGAAACTTAGAAAGCAGCACCAAGAGCTGCTGACCCTAAGAGAACCAAAGACTCAGAAATTCACAGCAGAGCCTCAGAGACACTGCTCCATCAAGGCAAGCAGGAAAAGGAAACAACTCAACAGCTGTACCTGTAGGATGACATTCTCACTGCAGGCCTCATGTTCTGCCAGGCTAGAGCACCCACACATTCCATTATAGCAATGGCCAGCATGTACTGTGTTAGACCACTACCACTATTAACCCCCACCTTCTAAATGACACTGTACAAACTGCACAATGAACAGATTAACTACATGGACACACCATAAGCTGCCTGTCCCCACACACTCCAAGAAAGGTTAAAAGATTAAAACAATGTCATCATCACAGTGTCCCAGAAGCAGCAGACAGCTCAAAAAACAGGTCATCACAAAAAAAGAAAAAGGAAAAAAAAATATCAGAACGTAGAGTTAATGAATATCGTAAAGGCATGAAGGCTGATATAAAATTCCAAGACATTCAGATCAAGGATATTCAAGAAATTACAAAAATAGCTGGAGTCACAAGCATAAAGACAAAATTAATTTAAAAGACAAAATAGATACAACCAAGGAGACAATAGAAACCACAGAAAACCATGAAAATATAATCCAAAATAATAAGACCTATATTACAAATGCCATCAACATGTCAGGGGGACAAAAAAAAATAGAACAAAAGAAAAGGAACATAGAAACAGAAGGTAAGTACTTAACACTAACTAGAGAGAGGGGAAAAGCAGAAACAAGGAAAGGAAATGAAGCAAGCATTAAGAATTACATGAGATATAATTAAAATAACATAATGATTGGAATTCCAGAACAGTAAGAGTAAAAATTAAGTAATACAATTGCAACAGAGGTATGAAAAAACCCTCTCCGGTGAGCAAGAAAAATGAGAATAATATCCATTCAAAAAGTCCAGTGAACTCAAACAGGATAGACTGGGGCGGGGCGGGGTGAACACCTAAGCATGTCATAGTCAAATTTTCCTGAATCAAAGACAATGACAGAAAAGAAGTCAGAAAAAAAAAAAACCTAACCTATAAAAGAGGAATGGAGAGCCAGTAAGATTTAGCTCTAAATTCTCAGTAGAAACCATGCAAGCAAGAAAATGGGAAGACACAAAAGGCTAAAAGAAAGCAACTGACGACTGAGAATGCTGTACTCAGCAAAACTGTCCAAATATACCAAATATTTGATCATTCTCAAAGGAGAAACTAAAAGAATTTATGAAAGCAACACTAATGTTACAAGACTAAAGGAAGTCTTTCTCACAGAGGCAGCACAAAAAAGTGGATTAACAGTAATACACACAAAAGAGTGTAACATAAATGCAACAATAAAGCCTTGCTTATCAAAAATAATTTGTTTGGGCCATTCTGCCATCTTTGTGTAAAATGACTTGGTTTTTGACTCAAAAAGATATTGTCCTGCTGATGTATTTTTATTCGGTGCTTGTATATTATTTTTGTTTGGTTTTTATCCAAAAGGCATGTAGTTCCAATCTACCAGCTGGACAATCTCCTCCCATGCAACTTACTGCCTCTGAAAACCCACTGGAGGGTCAGCTATGAGTTGGCTCTGACTCAAAGGTACACAACAAAACACCCAAGTGTGCAGGATGAGTGTGGTACTGTTTGCTAGTTTGGCACATTAGGGGCTCAGATCTTCTAGTGGGCAAGGCAGATGAAGAGTATGTACACAGACTTCTGTTTACAGTAGATGAGAACAGGTTGGTCTGGTGTTGACCACTGTCTATAGGAGTAGACAGTGGTACAGGAGTGGGTGGTTGCCTTCATCTCCAAGTGGGTCTGCAGGTGTGGTATAGCTGGGTTGTGTGGGTATAGTTGCTATCCCCAGTGGGTAGTACAAAAACAAGAGAAACAGAGGGAGGACAAAGCCAGCAAAAAAAGAAAATACTAAAGAAAGAGGTAAACGGACCAACAAAACTATTTTAATAAACAGGATGGGCAGGATACTCAGATGGATTTTGTGTCAGCCTGAAGAAGGAACCAGAAGCAATTTCTGCAGGCAAGAGGGCAGGGCATTTGGCTGTGGACATAGATCTTGATTAGAAGTTATATTGGAACAGTGTTCCTTATCCCCTTGTAAGACGTTCCTATAGGCCCAGATGGTGATCAGGTATATGGTGCTTAAATGGTTGCTAGCAGGAGAGCACTGCGTGTTCTACTGGTCCTAGGAGAAGAGACTGAGTGCCTCCAAGAGCAATGGTGGCAGGCACCTGGTGTCTGAGTCACCTCATGCAGACTAAGGGCTGGGACGGAGGGTGGGCTAAGGGAGTGTCACATACTTGCATGCATGGATTGGAATGTGTAAGGGTATACCTATGGTTAATGGGTATGGGAACATCAAGGGAAGTCACTCCTGGTTACCAGCCACAGGAGTGCTTGTGTAGTCCAGTTATCAGGTTCTTGAGTTAAGAGGCCTAGTGGTCCATTTCTTTGTCTTTTCAAGTTCAAAATTTCAGGATTATCATTCAACTAGTCTCTCATGTCTTTGTTGTAGAGGTCTGCTTGACTTTGACTAGTTCACCTTATCAAAGTCCTCCAACTTTTGATGCTGCAGTGTGTGGATTCACCTTACAAAAAGTATCAGATGGTCTGTTTAGTCTTTTGGGTCGCTAAATTAGCTGGTGAGCTGTCCAAGAAACTGACCTTTAAGTAGACGGGCTTGATTACCAAGTAAATTGTCTGGTGACTGAGAAAAACTCTAAAACACCCTAGGCTTTCTAACCTGAGAGCCTGGAGGGAGCATGTCCTTTGACATGGTGGCCCTGAACTAATGAACCTCTCAAGTAAACCTGCAATGGAAGCAACAGCTGTGATGGTGCCAGAAACTAAGTGATACGAGCCAGTGTCAGAAGAGGTGGCTATGAAACGATTCAGACAGATAATGGCAGCAAGGTATAAAGGCTGGACCACAACAACTTAGAAGCTAGTTGAGGAGCACCCACAGCAAAGCCCAGTGACTTTACTTGTCACTGTTGACAGTGAACACTGGTTTTGAGGAAGGGTAAGTGGGTTGGGACACCTCCCTAAACCTAAGTCTATGCATATTTGTTTATGTCCTGTTAGTTATTGCAGATGTATTATTTCCGAGAGTTCTGTGACCAATCCAAAGACTTCTCAAATGCAGTAGTGTTGTGGGAGAACAGCAGGTGTCAGAATTGAAGTTGGAGAACTGGCTATTTCACCTGCACCTCACAGGAGACAAATGTGTGTTAGCAGTGATTTCAGATGCCCTCCCTGCGTACCTCAAAGCTTCTGTTAAAAGCAATCTATAATACAAATCCCTATGGACTAGGCAACCAGTGCTTAATATAAAAGCTTGATGTCTTTAATATTCCACTAGTTCTCTTCATTTCAATCTTAGCTAATATTCTAAGGTGGGACTCAGCCATGTTAGGTGATTGTATCGCCTTGGAAGAAAGGTCCTTAACAAAAACTCTTAACAAATGATTTTACCCTGATTCTCCCACAACACTATTGTGTTTGATAAGCCACTGCAGTAGTCACAGAACTTGTGGAAATAATACATCTACAGTAACTAACAGGATATAAACAAACATACATGGATTTAGGTTCAGGGAGGTGTCCAAACCTAGGGCCTCAGTATCTTAAGTGAACTCACCCTTTCCCAAAACCAGTGTTCATGATCATCAATGACAAGTGATGTAACTGGGCTCTGCTATGGATGCTCCTCAACTAGCTTCTGAGCTGTCATCAGGTCCAGCCTTTATACCTTGCTGTCACTACCTGGATTGTCTCATCACCACCTCTTCTGACTCTGGCTCATCTCACTTCGTTTCTGGAACCATCACAGCTGTTGCATCCACTGCAGGTTTCCCTGAACATGTTAAGTTACAATGGGTTGGACTGGCAGCAACTGTGGTTTTGGGGTATTTTTTTCCTTTTCAGTGTAACATGGTAAGGCTAGAATGTTTTTTAAAACTTTGAATGCCCAATCTTATCATCAGATATTTGGGTGCAGATGATCTAAGGTGTGGTCTAAGCACAGGCATTTTCAAAGTGCTTCCAAAGATTTCTAATGCTCTGAGAGGGCTGTGACCCACCACACCTGTGATGGGTAGATCATCAGCCTTGAACACCATCTCTCTGCCGGTATTTTTGATTCCTGTCTTTAATCCTCAAAACCTAGTAAAAAACACCATGCAACGGAAAAGTTGTGGTTTATTTTTGAGAATTCCAAGAAGCAGAATTTCTACAAGGTAAATTTAAAAAATGAGAAAAGTTTGAGATTCCTAAAAGGCAACTATGAAAACTAAGTCTATACTGAGAAATGGGGCTTCTTGACCAGGAGTCAAATGTGGTAAAGTCCCACGTTGGCATACTGGTCTACAGTGTCTGTGATACAAAAGGGAATGCACAAGTGCTCCAACATTTGCATCCCTCAGTCTGAGGTGAAGAAGGGCTTACTGCCCAACTAGCTGGCCCAGTCCTGGAACCGGAAGCAGTCACTTGCAATCTTCCACACTGTGTTGCTGGGGGAGGCTTGAGCTGTCAGAATAAAGTTCTGATTGAAATCCCGCTGTTTGTTGCCTTCAAACTTCACAGTTCCACAGATAACAACAAGGACTGTTGTTTGACTTGGTGTGGCTTCATCATGAACAGGCTGGCAGTCCACTACGTTGATCTGAAATTCACTGGAAGGCAACATTTCAAAAAATTCACTCAAGGATTCTTGTCCTGAAACAGCATTTCCATTCCACACAAGGGTGGCTGTGGCCATGTATAGCCTGGACAGCAAACGCCTCCGCTTGTCCATAGTGGTATAGTAGACATTGACAAATTCCTCCGCGGCTCGGCATGCCTGATCCACATAGGTCTTGAAATCCACCGAGGCCATTGCTGGTTCCCCTGGAAGAAGTCTCTGCCAGGATGTCTCCTCTGACTCAGGAAGCTGGAAACCAGGAGCTGTAGAAGAGAACCCATGTGAATGCTAAGATTTGTTCTTTCCTGACAATGGAATTTCACCCTCCACCCTGCTTGATCAATTAACTGTAAACCAAAGAACCATAAAAGTGAAAAGTAATGCAAAAACATGGATGTAGGCTAAAAATCTAGCATTGCCTTATTTTGCTAAGCCTCAGTTTGTTAATTTGTAAATGAGCCTATCACCACTACAGCATAACTGTAAAGTTGAAGTGAGTCGCTTGTGACTCAGCAACCCTATGTTATGTACAGCAGCTCTGATACCTGCTCTATCTTGAGCCAACTTTACTATCTCCAACACACCTATCCCCTTTACTCCAGTCAGAGTCAATCTATCTCATGAGGGTTTTCCTCTCCTGCACTGTGCCTCCACCCTCCCAAGCATAATGTCCCTCTCCAAGGACTGGTCCCTCCTTGCAACATGTTCAAAATATGTCAGACAAAGTCTCAGAATCCTTGCCTGCAAGGAGCAGCTTGGTTTCACCCTTTCCAGGACGAACTTGTTTGTTCTCTTAGAAGTCCATGGTATATTCAATATTCTTCTCCAGTACTACAGCTCAAAGGCATCAATTCTTCCTCTATCATCCCTAGTCACTGTCCAGCTTTCTGATAAATAGCATAAAGACCAGGGCCTGGAACAGGCAAACCTTAGTCTTCAGACTGACATCATTGCTCTTCAGTACTCTGGAGAGGTTTCTGACAGCAGACTTCCCAATGCAATGCAACTTTTGATTTCCTGGCTTCTGGTACCAAAAGTGTTGATTTGGGAGCCAAACAAACGTAAGCTGTTAATAATCTCAATCTTCACCATTTATCAGAATTAAATAGTCTATGTTAAGCACTTAATAAAATTATTGTTAAGTGCCACTGAGGTGGCAGAGCAACCCTATGAACAACATAGGTGTCTAAGAAAATGACAGCTGTTACCTGATATTCTAAAAATTTCATGTTATTTTCAGAGGGCATTTTCTTCCCAAAGTAGGAATAAATCTGAATGCCTCTAGAGAAATTATCTATATTGGTTGGAAAGTGGAACCATGTGGAAGAGAGCAAGAGCTCTGGCCCAATCACGTACTGCCAATTAGATACTTATCACATGGTCAGAGTCTAGAAGGAAGAGAATGTAGGTTTCTTAAAAGGGTAAGGTAATAAATACCACAAAGATAGGACAAGATCAGGATGGTAGCCATAATCCTTGTGGTAAACTGTAAACAACAGATCATAAGGCTGTTTGGGAATAAGAAAACAGGTTATGTAATTCAGGTGACAGAGAATACCAGAAGAATGTCTATCTGTGTTTCATTGATTATGCAAAGGCATTTGACTGTGTGGATCATAACAAACTGTGGCTGACTCTGAGA